TAGATTCACAGTTTTGGAAAACTTAAGACACTGAAGTGGATATTAATAGATCCTGGGAAACTGTTAGAGAGAATATCAAAATTTCAGCCAAAGAGAGTCTAGATTATTATGACCTGACATGGTTCTAAAAAGGGTGCTCAAAATTATTAGATAAAAGAAACAGAAAACTGCAGTGGTTCCAGGATCCAAGCAAAGTAAATGGGGCTAATCTGAAGAAAAAAGTATAAGACCTGAAGCCAGAAGGCGTGTCAGGAACAAAAAGAGGGAATATCTGAAAGACAAAATTAATGTTCTTGCAACGAATAATAAGAACGAGAATGTTGGAGACCTGTATAGAGGGAGAGATGACTTTAAGCGGGGTTGCCAGCCTAAGAGTAAATTAGTGAAGGATGAGAATGGTGATCTGCATGAAGATTCCCAACGAATTTTGAAGAGGTGGAAGAACTACTTCCGTTATTTAATACACATAGAGTCAGTGATGCTAGGCAGATAGAAATACATACAGCTGAGCTGTTAGTACTTGATCCAGGCCCTTTTTAGTCTGATATTCCTATTGCAAAGTTGATAAGGTACAAATCGCCAGGTAGTGACCAAATTCCGGCAGATCTGGTTCAAGCAGGAAGCGAAATGTTACGTTTTAAGATCCATAAGCTCATTAATTCAATTTGGAATAAGAAAGAATTACCTCATCCGTGGAAGTAGTCTATTATTGTACCAGTTCACAAGACGGATGATAAAACTGACCGTAGTAATTACCGCGGGATATGACTGCAACGTCATACAAAATCTAACCCAATATTCCTCTCTCAAGGTTAAGTCCACATACAGGTGAAATTATTGGGAATCATCAGCGTGGGTTTCGATGTAACAGATCAACGACTTATGAGATCTTTTGTGTTTGTCAGATAGTGGAGAAAAAAATGGGAGTACAATGAGACAGTACATCACCTATTCGTAGACTTCGAGAAAGCCTATGATTCAGTCAGGAGGGAAGTATTGTACAGTATTTTCATAGTTTGCGATACCCATGGAAATGGTTAGGCTGATTAAAATGTGTTTAAACCAAACATATAGTACAGTCTGTATAGGTAAACATTTGTCTGATAATTTTCCTATCCTGAATGGTCTAAAACGTGGAGATGCTTTAACGCCACTGCTTTTCAACTTTGCTTTAGAATATGCCATTAGGAAGGTTCAGGAAAACCAGGTGGGCCTGAAATTAAATGGGACACATCAACTGCTGGTCTATGCTGATGATGTCAATCTACTCTGGGATAATATAGGTACAATAAGGAAAAACACATACTTTAATTAACGCTTGTATAGAGGTTGGTCTAGAAGTTAACACAGAGGAAACTAAGTACATGGTTGTGTCGTGACCAGAATGCAGGGCAAAATCGTGACATGTACATAGTCAACGGACCCTTTCAAAATGTGGCACAGTTCAGATATTTGGGAACGACTATAACAAATCAAAACCCGATTCAGGAGGAAATGAAGAAGAGACTGAACTCAGGTAATGCTTACTACCATTCAGTCCAGAACCTTTTGTCTTCTTGTCTGCTGTCCAAAGATATAAAAATTAGAATATACAAAACTATAATTTTGCCTGTGGTTCTGTATGGGTGTGAAACTTGGTCTCTGACATTAAGGGAGGAACAAAGACTGAGGATGTTTGAGAACAGGGTGCTGAGAAGAATGTGTGAACCAAAGAGAGATGAAGTGACAGGAGGTTGGAGAAAACTGCATAATGAGGAGCTTCATAACTTGTGCTTTTCTCCAAGTATAATTAGAATGATCACGCCAAGGAGGATGAGATTGGCATGACATGTAGCACGAATGAGGGCGAAGAGAATTGCTTACAGGGTATTGGTGGGAAAGCCAGAAGAAAAGAGTCCACTAAGAAGATCAAGGCTTAGGTTGGTGTCCCCTTGAGGTTCACAACCAGACATTTTCTTCCCCACTCTTCTCTTGCAATAGTAGTTGTTATGTGAAATCCTCTCCAACGAGAAGATGGGGTTGTCTCTTATGAATATTCTTAGATTTTTGTCAAGTATATATTTCGCACATATAACATATTACTGAAAATTCTTCCTTTATGCTATTACCGCCCTCTTCTTCGTCGTCTTTGCTCAGTGAGACTTCAAGCCTCACAAGTTGGTCGTCAGTTATACCTGCCCTTCACGTTCGCACCTTTGTGGTCTGCACTTTCATCCGCCGCTTCCTTGTAGTTGTCTGGTTCAGGGTAGGGTGTGGGATTGCCCTGAATTTGATTTTTTATGGGCGCCAGTGGACTTGGGTGAAATCCACGAATTTGGAACGGGGAAAACAAAGGTGGGGATATGGATAGGTGGACGTTTGGGGTTCCGACTGCTCAGACGGTAGGACGAGATTCTGTCTCAGGGCAACTAATGGGCCTTGCTCACACAAGGAGAGAGAAAATACAAAAAAACTCGCACTTCACCAACACTATTGCTCTTTATTGTAGATGTTCACTAGAGTTACACACTACGAGGCCATAGCACTTGGACTTTGTACACCAATTTAACGTCCGGGAGGTTACTACTGTTACTCCCTTTGGCTACTCACTCCTGTTACTCACTGTCCATGACTAACCGCTCTTATTCCCTTGTAAAGACTGACTGCTCTTATTGCCTTGTGTGACTCACTCCCGCTATTTCCTTCTGATGACTGACGGCTCTGGAGAGGCAGAAGTCCCGACGGTTCCGGGAACGCCTGGATTCCTCTCCTCTGAAATTTTGCTGATTGGCTGAACCTAAAATTTGGGTGTTTCTCTCATTTGCATTCAGCCAATCCCTATCCAGATCCATGTTAATTTGGGCCTAAGTACAACACAGTCCCTCTGACAGCTCTCAAATAAATGGAGGTACGCTAACGATCGCTCGGTACGCCCCTTCGAAAATTATTGCGACTCGTATCTGTCAAGTCTCAAATTTTCAAAGACTCGAACCGTCGAAGTTAAGCATTGAAATCCCCAGAAAACACAGCGGGATACTTCCTGCTCCGTTCTGGGTTTTCAAGTGACCTGCAGCTTGCTTGTCCCTCAGAAAGACCAGATGTTGTCCTAGGCGTCTGCTGGTGCTGGGGACAATTGTGTATCATCTTGTTATCAGTAATACTGTTCGTTTACATGTAGTACATTGTAATTAAAAATGCAAATCAACAACATTGCTGAGGTTCCTGCATGGTGCGGTTACAATGCACTACACACAAGTCCTCTGTCAGTACAGGATTTACAGAGCAGATCATGCCTAACTTACGTATCTTATGCTACAACACCAGCTTCGCCATCTGAACCAACGTAAGATTGACCACCGCCAAGTTTAAGCCTCTTATATTTTCTATGTCTGTATTCACCTTGTCGTATACCGCGAAAATGTTCATTTTCATTATTTTATATGACTTCTGCTTGTCGCCTGTAGACTTTTGTTATATAATTGTTTACAAATAGACTTGAAAGATTCTGATGATGGTGTATGCTTACTTTGAACTCTACCCATCGACTGGTGTATTGAAGACAAAGAAACACCCACAACGTTTTGGAGACTGGATCTGTCTCCGTCCTCAGGTGGATGTGGCAGGTTAGAACTACTCAGTTGGGCCCGTTTTTTTGTCTTCTAATCATCAGTCAATGGACAGAGTCCAAAATAAGCCTAATAGTTCTGTACATAATTGTATACATACGGAAAGTTGAAGGCTGTGTGCAAGTCGCGGACCAGTGTGTGCTTTGGAAAATTTCCAATTGTGCGGAAAACCTTAGGAAGTCAAAGTCAAAGTCACATTATGACTGACGATCAGTCAGTCAGTCAGTCAGTAGGTCTTGGTGTCGAGCCCCATGTGGGGCTCATGACCAGATACTTATTACTGTTTGACAGTTACAGTCTTGTTTTTGTGGGGAGTCCTGTCTGACGAGAGACGGGTCTGACATTTATACATGCTGCTGGCCCCTTGCCAGCGCAGTCTTTCTCGGGCCAGGGTCCCTTGGGACTCGCGACCATATTTTACTAGCTCAGATTTGAGACTCCCCTTTGCGTCACCTACTACTACTTGCAGGGTCACAGTGGAGGGATTAGACCCCATCTTCACACGGGTTTAAATACTGGGAAGTCAAAGAAACCTTGTGGAAAATCAAAGTCACATTGCGACTGATGGTCTGTCAGTCAGTGAGTAAGTCTTGGTGTCGAGCCCCTTCTAGGGCTTATGACCAGATATTTATTACTGTTTGACAGTTACGTTCTTGTTTTTATGGGCGCCCACTCCGACGAGAGGACGGGTCTGCCTTTTGTAGGTGCTGCTGGCCATCGTCAGCAGTCTTTCTCGGGTCGGAGTCACTTGGTACTTGCGACAATATTTTACTGTCTCACACAGTTCGCCTTATTCGTTGTTAAAACATTTATTGAGATGCTAATGACGAGAACTATGAAATGTTTATATGCTGCTGACTTGTCGACGACATGTGTCCAAACGTGCGCGTTGAATGTTGACGCGAGCAGCGTGGGTCCCATTCGGCAGACGGCCTGAAACATTTTCGGCAAGTTCTCAGGAAATCTCCTTATTCTGTAACATTTAATTTCTTGATTCTAATAAGCAGCTACGGCAATGGTTGATAAGGATGATTAAAAAACATACGAACAGAAATATTGGGCCATATTTGGCACTAGGTTAGGATGTTCCGCCGACAGCTTAGTATTGTCCCTGTTTAAAGTTTCGAAATGGTTATACCGCATGTCTTAGGAACCCTTTACAATATAGGCCAAACGCAAAGAAGATAGATATATTCTTCATGTATAAGCGATTCCACACTCATTACCATATCTGTGTACCTGCATGTTTAACGTGAACGGTGTCCAACGTGCTATTACTCTTGCTAGATTTTTCTTAATTGTAATGAAATTATGAAGGTTATCGTATATTTCGGGTGAAACTTCAGTTGTGCGATCATCGGTGATGTTTCGATCTCTGAGACCTCGCGCGTCAATAGTAATAATGGCGACGGTGGAGATGTGGAATGTTTGTCTGGATGAGTATCCAGCACATTGATTCGATGTGAACCCGGCATTGAAAAACGAAGGAGAAATGTACAAATTTAACAGATAGTATGAAAAAATGTTGAAGCTAGTGGTCATGTAGTTTTAGTTACTTGCGTTGCCATTTAAGTGTATACAATATATTTGGCCCCAGCTAAATCTGTTAGCAAAAATGGAAGAGATTCAACTTACTGAAACTGAACAGCGATACTTCGGAGACTTGTTTATATGTTGTGACTCAGATAATAGTGGGAAGATTCCGGTCTACAAAGCCTCTGAATTATTCCGATCCGCAAATCTCCCGCTTGATGTGTTAAAACAGGTATCTACTGAAAGACAACACCAAGAGAATTATATATAAGTGGCAGAAGGAAGATATGTTAACTATTTATTTACAAATTTAGATATTGACTAGCATCCTGTGTGTTCATTTCGTGTTCATATTTACACATACATGCTACAGGTCGTTCCATTACCTACTATAAAGAATAAATTCAGTGTTACCTTCTTTTTGCAGTTAAAATTGATCATCGTTGTGAGTTTCATTCCCCAGATGTTAGACAGTGAAGCTGGTGTGTTGGAGCTTTTCTACCATTGGATTATTTTTAATATTTAAATTATTTTGTATTTTGTGCTCCCATTGCCTGGATTCATTAAAAATGTAGGTGGAGTTTGCTGTTGGTTATAGGTACTCAGTGCACATATTAGCTTATTTCATATGTACTTAACAGGTAGTGACCATTTATGTCAGGTGAGTAATTAAACCAGAATTCAGTATCAACTTAATGAGCTTCAGGTAGTTAACTGTATGTTACGTTTAATAGACGGACATTTATGTATTTTGCTACTGTCATTCATTGTGTGAGCCGTAATTCTAATTTTATTTATTTTATAAAGCTGTTACCTGTATTACATTCTTCCAGTATTTAGATCAGTGCCTAGGCCATATCATCAGTGTCAACAGATTGAGGGCATTGTGATATTTTAGCATTTATGTGTGATCAAAAGTGAAATAATGTTCATATCTATAAGTAAATTTGTAATTATAGAAGTAAAAGAAGAATGTACTTTCATGAGCACAAAACCCATTGCAGTTTTAATGGGAAATTGTTGCTGATGTAAGCAGTATACTTTCTGTCCCTATACTTATTTCACTGTGATCCACTTTTATACATTATAGCCCTTGAGGGACACTGTGAAATCATTATTTCACTGAACATGCATGCTGTGAACTGTAAATGTTCTGGAAACACACATTCTACATTTAGACTAAGACACTAAGCATGATGCAGTAACAGTATCCACTATGTGGTTCTGCTATCAAGAGGTGCACTAAACCCTACAGAGTAGGTGACTCCCTCCTCACCTGAGGAGGGAAACATCCAGTATCCAAAACGCTGTGTTTTCTAGTATTTAGAATACCAGACAGTGGACAAAGTTCAGAAGCCCAGCAAATCTGGTGTTGTACATTGTCAGAACCCTTTAGAATCTACTGTGTAGTAGTACATTAAATTAATTAAAAATGTATATTAATTATTTTTGTTAGAAGCATATGAAATGAAATGAAAATGTATGTTTCTGTCGTTGCATATATTTTCTTCCTCATCTCATTAAAGACTACACTTCTCATCTTATCAGTGCTGCCTGATTCATGTTGGTATCTTACTTGGCTTACTCTTCAACCTTGAAGATGGAGTCAGCATGTACCTACAATATGCCAGTTGACTTTTAACAGACTACAGAACTCTTCATAACCATTGCTGTGAGACCCTCATATCCTCCGTAGTTGGTCACTGTTTTACCTTTTTGTTATAACACTTTCCTGTGCTTTTTGCAGGCTATTTGTGCCAGTTATAAAGCCTTTTCTTGTAGTGATAAATGTATTAGAGAACTTTTTATTAAAATATTGAATGCCTTTTATTCAAATTCTGTTTCTTGACTTAGAATGAGGTGTGCATTTTTCAGGCTCTTATTAGATCAGTATGGTAATTGTCACAGCTTCTTCCTTCTTCAATTCTCTAAGGCATTTACTAAAAGAAGCACTGATGATACTCTGTAAGGTTGGGAGAAATATTTTTTCACCACATCATCACAGTTTCAGGTGATCCGTGACAAGTGGGTCTCTTGTCACAATGATGTTGCATGCCCTTAGGTTGTGGATGCAGGAGACAGCTTCCAGATATGGAGGACAGTTGTAAATGTATTGAATAAGCAGTTGCAGACAGCCAAGAGGGATAACTCTCTAGCTTGGGGTTTGGGCAGGAGGCTAAAACTCCTCACCATGAAAGATCATTATGTTATAAAATGTTGCACAGGGTCCCAGACTTGGACAGATTCTTAGGAATGATGTAAACGTGACATATTTTGCACTTGGAATGCCAGGATTCTATAGGTCAGGTTCAGTGAAGAAAGTAGCAAGGCACAGGTGAAGCAGTTGTGATACTGAACCAGCTGATGATTACACATTTTTCTAAGGAAATAGGAAGGCTGTTAGTCATGGACAGGCCTTTTATTGTAGATAAGGATATCATATCAGCAGTCAAAAGGCTAGATTCTGTTAGTGGTAGGATGTCTGTAGTATGATAGTAAGAGGTAATGATATTGGTGTTAAGAGTAGTAAAGTTTGCCACATCCAGAAATTTAATTGACAGGAATGCCATGTTTGTACAGTGCTCATAAATACACTTTGACATCTCCAGTTCATAACACAATGAGATTGATCACGTCTTGATAGACAGAATGTGACATTGAGGTTTATTATATGTCTGGTCTTGCAAAGGAATTGATTGTCTTACTCTCTACTGTCTGGTGGTTGGGAAGGTTAGGGACCGATCATCAGTACATTGTTCAGTGAGACAGGGGATAAGTCTTTCTAAAGAAAACAGCAATCTACGAGTTTGAAAAAATGTATGTACTCTACATATTCCCCCCTGAGTTCCACACACTTATGACTTTGTTGTTCTAACTTCTGTAACCCATCCAAGAAAAATTATTTTGGTTGTGCTGCAAACCACCTATCTGCAGCTGATGTCGCCTCCTCAGTGCTTGAAAACTTCCTTCCATTGAGGTGTTTTCTTGAGGTTAGGAAAGAGGTAGTAGTCTGAAGGGGCCAAATCAGGTGAGTAGGTTGATGTTTCAGAACTTCGAAGTGAAGATCTGCCAATTTCTGGCATGTAATGGCTTCTTTGTGAGGAGCAGCATTTTCATGAAGAAACAAGATTTCTTTCAAAAGCTTGCCTCGACGTTTGGAAACCAGTTGCTGCTTCAGTCTGATGAGAAGTGCATCATAGTACCCTAGTGCATAGTGCATAATACCCATAGGTATTCTACAAGCAAAATTCCATCTTAGTCCCAGAAGACAAATGCCAACACCTTGCTTGATCTCCTCTGTGTCTTGAACTTCTTTGGACGCGGGAAACCACTGCGTCTCCATTCTCAATTCCTTGGATTGTTCCTTGGTCTGTGGATCATATATGGATCCTAGTTTCATCCATAGTTATGAGACGGTTCAGAAATCCCACAGGATCTTGCCAAAATTTATCCAAAATGGCTTGTGAAGCAAGCACTCGATCATGCTCCTGGTCAGCATTGAGACATTTGGGGACCCATTTGACTGAGAGCTTTTTCCTGTCTAAAATTTCGTGAATAATATATATAGCCTACTCTTTCATGGGATATCTCCAGGGTTCATGCTATCTTCTTAGTGGATATTCTTTGATCGTACAGGATCATGGAATGAATGGCATCCACATCTTTTTGAACTGTCACTCGAGTTTGTCTCCCAGAACGTTGTTCGTCTTCACTGCTCAAATGTCCTGTTCTAAACCTAGCAACACAGTACTGTACTGTGGAGTAGTAAGGCCACTTATCACCTAAAGTAACCGACATATCATCACAAACTTTTTTGGCCTAGTTCAATTTTAGGAAAAGATGTTTCAGTACCCCTCAGCACTCTTTTGCAGTGATATCTCCGTTGTTTTGCGTCATTTTCACTTCAGATCTGCAAGAAACATTAAATAATCAGGCTACGGTTATGAAATTTAGGTAAGACATATACAAAACAATAAACTTTGGATACAAGTTGTTATTAGTATAAAAATAGGTGAAATAGGAAAAACCAAAGACTTATCAGCACCCCTACATTTTTAACACATCCTGTATGTTTACCAAATATTTGAAGTATGTATATGAAGTAATGCAATATTATTAAGAATGTGGTATTGCTAATTAATTAACTAATTAACCTTTAATGTCTATGCATCACACTATTATGACGGCACATACACAGGTCTAGTAGAACTATCATTGTATTGTTTGAGAACAAATACATTTGTCCCCAATTTAAAATCTGCCTGTCAGCACTGTAGTAGTGGGAGATTTAAATCTCTGTATCTCTGAATGGTAAAGGGTAACATTTCAGGTCACTGTTGATATATTGCTACCTTCTTCATAGTATGCAGCCTGTTGTGTGTCATACATAGGATATGTAATGTGTATGTAATGGGGGATGAGGACAGAACAGTATTTCCAAAAAAAAAAACAAACAAACAAACAAACAAAACAAATAATAGATACTGCTGTATCAACATTTGTTTATCACCTGTTGACGCCACATGTTTCAACCCGTATGTTGGGTCATCATCAGGCATATATTAATACTAGTATTAGTTCATGGATCCATATTGAATTAAGGCACAATTCAAGAACTAATACTGGTATTATACACCTGATGAAACATGTAGCATCAACAGCCAGTAAACAAATTTTGATACAGTAGTATCTGTTTTGTTTTTTCAGAAGTATTGTTGTGTAGACTGCCCCATTACATATATTATATATCCTATATATTGCTAAACCTGGGCCTTCCCATTTCAGTATTACATGAGTAGTTGAGAGTTGTGCCATAGATTAGGCAGTTAGACACTGTCTTCTCACAACATAGCCTCAGGTTCAGTTAAGCAAGATTTCATATGAGATTTGTGACAGATGAAGTGACACTGCATTCTGTGGTTTTCACCTGCTAATCACTGTTGCATGTTCATCACCCCTTGAGATGTATTAGCCCTGACAAGGTAGCACATCACATTCTTGGCCTTTAAGCTGGGGACTTGATCTTCATGAAGTGATTGAGGCTAGCTCTCTCTAACGGACCCAACAGAATAGTTGTTTTCCTTCACCTGAGGACGGAAACAGATCCAGTTTCCGAAATGTCGTGTTTTTATTAGTTATCTTAAGAACCAGGACGATGGATAAAGTCCAAAAACCCAATATATCAGTTCATCTTCATTAGCTGGTTACACAGTAAGGAAAGTGAGTGTTTTTATAGCTGATTAATAGCAGTTTGTTGATTTTTTTCTCTCCTCCCCCCAGGTAACTGAACTCTGTGGTGGAAGTAGAGTCAGCCATTTGGGACGCCGTCAGTTTTATTCAGCTCTGAAACTCATAGCAGCTTTTCAAGCAGGGCTTCCTCTACGTCCAGAGCTTTTCCATTCATCACTTGATGTCCCTTTACCTCGTTTCACTTGGGCAGCATCAGTTGGTAAGATGAGCCTGTGGATTGAATTTTTAAATGACCATTTATATGAGGAAAGTGCTGTATAAAGTTTGCAAAACAGAGAGTCTACTTACGTTGTTTGCATGCCAGATTTGTACAACCATAAGAATGGATGTGGGGGAAAAGTCTTGTTTATTTGTATTCATAATACAAAAGTCCATGTTGGAAAATATGGTACATTTTATTCTCTCTCTTTTATGGCATGATATTCATTCATTCATTCATTTCTTATATTTTCCATATATCCATACAGGCAAAAATCCTAGAATGTGGAAATAGTCCATTTGATTATAGATGTATACATGTAGTAGATTACATAAGTCACACAACTAAAATAACACATACCAGTTAACTAACATAGGCAATATAAAAAAACAAAACAAAAGCTTATTACAATTGTAACTAAACATAATTTAGAAAGTGCATTACTATAAAAACTTAAAATTAATATAATTTTCCCATAAATCAAAATACATTGATACAGGACTCGTCATATACATACATACACATCCTCCACTTTCCATAAACATCCATACAGGGAACAAACCCAGGATGTGGAATTAGTCATCAAACACATACACAAAGTCACACAAGTCACACCGCGAAGATCACCCACATTAATTATCCAGCACATACAACAATACAAGGCAAAAAAAGTAAACAAACATAAGTCACAAGTAACCACAATACAACTTCTCACATCTCCCTTACCAACTATATTAAAATGTGGCGTTAAGCATTCAAATTTATGTGCCTTTGTAATTAAAATACTCATTTAATGTATAAAAAGAGTTAGCATGTAAAAATCTTTTTAGGGAACGTTCAAAGGATTTCTGGTTATTAGATAATTGTTTCAGCTCTTTAGGCAGATGATTGTAGATTTTTATACCGGAATAATATGGACCCTTTTGAACTTTAGTAAGAGAAGTACTCGGGGGAAATACGTTAACATTTTGTCTGGTACCAATATTATGAACCTCCGTATTTCTTGTAAACGAATGTATGTTATTTATAGTGTGTTGCATTAAGGAATATGTGTATTGTGAACACAAAGGCAGAATTTTCATTTCCTTGAAAGAGTCTCTACACGAATCTATTTTCTTTAATCCCATCATAATCCTTATAATTTTCTTCTGGATCATAAAAAGTTTCGTCATGTATGAAGAATTGCCCCAGAAGATAATTCCATATGTCATCACAGAATGTATATAAGCAAAATAAATCATTCTTAAGCTACTTAATGATAACATAGGCTTAACTGATCTCATGAGAAAGCAAGACAAACTCAATTTAGTAACCAGGTAATCAATATGATACTTCCAACACAGCCTATTATCAATATTTAGGCCTAAAAATTGAATACACTCTAAGTTAGTCGGTAAATTTTGATCAATATTATTATGCATATTCTGATCCTCATTGTTCATTAAAGTGAAATGCAGAGTGTGGGTTTTATGAATATTTAATTTTAGCAGATTGATTCTGAACCATGTGTTAATATTGTAAAATATTCTGGTCATGGCTGATTTGTAGTCAGCGTATTCCGGATTAGTCACAATTATACTTGTATCGTCTGCATATAAGAATATGTTTGTTCCATTAATTGAAACCTTAGTTATGTCATTTATATACAAGAGGAAAATAAGTGGGCCAAGAATTGAACCTTGGTGTACACCAAATTGTGTATGATGTGGTGGTTGAAATGTTTGTAACTTTTTTCATTTGTTGTGACAAAACTGATCTGCTGTTAAACTTAGTTGTACCAATATCAGAGATGGGTTATGTTCAGTCTAGTTTTCAGTTCACAGTTCATGTCTAAGGTTACAAATGGATCTTCAACAATATACTACCGTAGTCAATAAGTTTGTGGACTGGCCGCAAAGTGTTGTTGCAGTGCACTACAGCAGATGGGTTGAGGCACGATATGATGCCCAGTCAGTTCATCTCTCATCATGGCAAGAGGCAGTTGTGTGCAAACAGTGTAAGCAGAACTACTGCCTTTATTGTGAACTGCAGTTAAATGCATGTGGCAGAAATGGAAAATGTGGCAGTTTGAACAACAGGCAGACATCAAGTTCTGCCAAAAACTAGGCAAATCCCCAAGCGAAACATTTTACATATGAAGAATTGGCTGTTGCTACACGACAACGCCCCTGCACATCGCTCTGTTCTTGTCCTAGAGGAACTGGCAAGGCAACAGATCACCATTTTTGCCATACCCTCCATACACACCTGATCTCACACCATGCAATTTCTTTCTCTTTCACCTCTTGAAAGCAAAGCTACTTGGTAGTAGATTTCAGTCGTCTGAGGAGGTCACTGCCACAAGAGATGCCGTACAGGAATTTCCTGCCAGTATGTTTCAGCAATGTTTTCGGCAGCTATATCAACGTTGACAGACTTGCATAGCGGCCAGCAGCAACTATTTTGAGGGCCGATGTGGATCTGTGTTAATGTATGTGATTACCCTATAATATAGGGTGGGGCACAGAAACTTCCTTTTTTTGAAGGCGAATAAAAGAAAAATTATTGCTGATAGACAAAATTTATGTTTAGCTAATGAAAGAACATGCTTTAAAGTTTTAAATCATGTAGTTTTAAATAAAATATCTTGAAGGTGGTGGCCACCGTTCTCTATGCACTGATGCAACTGTTTTGTGAAGTTCCCCTCTGCATGTGCCAACATGTGCACCGGAATTTGGGCTACTTCCTGCCGAATAACATTCTTCAGCTGAAGCAGGTTTGTGGGGCTATGTTTAAAAACTTCTGCCTTGAGGTATCCCCATAAAAACTAGCACAGGGCGTTAGATCAGGTGAGTGCGCTGCCCACGAGATGTCACCTCGAAGCGAGATGAGCCATCCGGGGAACTTTGCCCTCAAAACTGTCATCGAAGCTCAGGCTGTGTGGGCCGTGGCACCTTCCTGTTGGAGCCAGACATTTCCTAGATGCATTTCTTCAAGAGCTGGTTCGAAAAAGTTTTTAATCATGTCCACATACCCCTGTGAATTGACAGTAACTGCATGATTGTCTTCTTCAAAAAATAAGGGCCAGTAGCTCCAACTCTCGACAACGCACACCATGCTGTCACCTTATCACTGTGAAGTGGCCTCTCATGGAGCTCTCTGGGATTGTTACCACTCCAGTAGTGCATATTCTGCATGTTGAAATATCTGGATAGGTGAAAATATGCCTCATCACTAAAGAAAACAAGTGCGTCAGGGGGTAAAGTTTCCAATAACGTTTCGCACTCCGTTATTTGGTTCTGGAAATGGCGTGGTGACAATTCTTGCACAACAACCATCTTATAGGGATGGAAATGAAGATGTTCGTGAAGAATTCGGCACATTGAATGATTGGCTATATCTAGGGCGACTCCATGTTTGCATGTGGAGCGTCTTGGAGATCTCAAAATCGACTGTCGAACTGCCTCCACATTTTCTGGCATCGTAACAGTCCGTTGTCGTTCTGATGATTTTTCACCACACTCCCGGTTGTCCTAAAGTTCTCTACCCACAAAACAATTGATTTCTGGTCAGGAACTGGACCTCTGGACTTAATTCCAAAGTGAGTACAGAACACACACTGCACCGCCACGTATGAATGGTTGTTTGAAAAATAGGCTTCGGCAGCAAACGCACACTGCTCACTCGTCTACCTCATGTTTCCTATTGAGGGGTTTTAGACAGACACTTCCGCGACTGCTGCGTTCACCAAGCCTATCCTTACTTTTCTGCGACCTCCCCTCCCTTCACAATGCGTCTTCACAAAAAGGAAGTTTCTGCGCCCCATCCTGTATGGTGCGATAAAACCAGAGTCCCCAAACTTAATGACTCTACCACGTATGTTTAAGAACACATGCAACAAAAATTAGTGTGTATGTTTTATATATATGTTACACACATACACAGACACGTTGATCTTTCAGGCTAATTCTATTTTGGATGAGTGATCTAAGAACCTAAATATTGTGTTGATTCTTAATCTGTCGTATCTCCAGATTATTGTATCATCTTTCAAGCAGTCTCCATTTTAGTGCATTTTACTTTGCCCATCAAGATTATGTAATGGTCTGTTCATTCTTTTAAATATAACCAAAGTGGCACTATTTAGTGTTGACTTGGTCATATTGGACAAATGTTATTTTAGCTCATAGTTACCATTACTACTCTAAGACAACGGACCCAAAACCCTTGGCAGGGATAAGAGTGCTGATATCTTCCCTGCACTTGTGCAGTAAGGAATAGCCATTATCACTTGTGGAAGCAGGGTTGGTAGATTGTGCATACGTTGAGTGGTTTTAGAGATCACTGAGAAATTATTATGCCCATGTCTTTTGATTGTATGTTATGTAATCAGTCATGGAACATGAGCCTGTAGTTCACGGAGTATATTTGTGTGTGTTCTGCTGGAAAAATGCATTCATTGCTTTAATATTAGTCACTAAAGAAAAGTCTACATGATATTTCTCATTATTTTTACAAATAATTCAATCAAAATGTACCAGTGTTTCATTTGGTATTGTTATTGATTATTCTTGTATTAAAATCTCCCATTAATAATAACATGTCTGATCATGTCTCCTATTTTAATGTAAATTTTTTTAATCTTCATTCTATACAGTTCTTAAAATTGCCTTGTGGTTTTTATGTATGTCCATCTTCACGTGTGTTTTAACCTTTATTGGCCATTTGTTGCACTATTGTAGTGCCTTATGTTGGCTGGATGTTGAATTTTTCAGTACCGATACCATTACTGCCAAGTTGAGATCCAGCAACCAGCCCTATATTACCAAGGGATTTAAAATCCCAAATTTCTGAAGAGTTAAAATTAAAGTATTCCAGTTCAGATGTCAGTAATATGTCTGCCTTTTATACAGAATGTTCCCACTTTGAATCTCATTCTGAAATCAGTTCTCTGGGTTGATATTTTATAGTTTTCCTTTGTGCTTCGAATCTAAAGTAGTACATTTAAAACAGACATCCTACTCTTTTCATTGTCTCCCCATCACATTCAGTGATATATAAGAAGTATAGTTGAATCAGCATTGTTAATCTTTTTATCTAGGAAAAGGGAATTTTAAATCCCCTGGTTTTGCAGGCTTAGTGGCTGCATTCTAACTTGGAGGCTTAAAAGATAAAGGTAAGATTGACTCTGTGCTTAATATATTAAGCCCTATGCTATGAAAATGTATGGGGGATTGGAGGTATAGCTCTATGATTCTTGACCTCAGCACTAGATAGAAATGAATGGTCAGCTTAAAGCCCTGGCTCCTTTAGCCCCAGGGAAAGAACCCTTGGTATCCATTGTATAGTGGGCTGGGAGGGCCCTGGAGCCAGTCTGAATGTTGTGGAGTAGAGAAAAATCCCTTGCTCTTGCTGGGAACTGAGTCCCAGTACCTTGGCTGTCCAGTCTGTAGCCCATTGCTATGCCGACTTATCTAATCTCTCAGCTTGAAGAACTAATGGGGTTAATATTGGAAAATATGAAGTTCAGTCAGCTGGACTGCATTTCTGAATTGTTAACACTAGAGCACTCCATAACCAGCAAGTTTATGTATCCTTAAAATCAGTAACATAATGTGAGTGATAAATGAAGCTTAGATTTCATTGTAATCACATCATGGTAATGCCAGGTTCTGCTTACAGACAAGTGGGAGCCTCAACATATAAATCGGCAGTTAGGCAGCCCAGATCTCATTCAGCTAAGTGACACAGACCGGACACCAACTCCACAGGTTTGAATTCACTCAGCTTTTGTTTTTCATCAGAATCTTTAATGAAATAATACCAGTATCATATATTGAGAACTCTAATGAACCGGTAATTACTTGTTCTATATGTGCAGTGGTGCAGTACTGTCCAGAGATGACCATAGGGTAATTTGTTTACTTCTTTTTAGCTTAAGTTTTTACGATTTTATTAATTAAGGCACTTACCCACATTAGTTATGAATGGAGAGCTAACAAAGAAACATGGGAATAAATTATGGGCGATGTGATTTATACTACTAGCAAAATATTTTATCTTTAAAACAACCTTCTTTGTATCAGATTTTCAGGTTACTGAACAAGAAGCATGGTATCGTCAAAGGGCTATTAAATGAGAGTTTGGCTTATGCAAAATTTGCAGAAATGTTTATTTACTGTACCAGCTGAAACTAGTATGAGTACCTTTATGTTTCTCTTGTTATGTTAATTAAAATATAAGTGTATAGGCATCTAGTAAAGTTGACACAAGTACATATTTATGTGATTAATTTCATTGGATAACCTAAAGTAGATACTTGTAAATGCTGATGGTACTTGTTTGGTATGTGCTAATATAAATACCGTAAAGATAGTGCAGAAACAGTTGTACAGACTAGCTAAGAAACTGGTGTAGAAATACAAATATAAAATGCAGGGTGTTTCACGACTTTAGGGCATAACTGCAGGAGGTGATTTCCTAGGTCTTTGTGATCAAAAAAGTTCATATAAACATGTGTCCGATTTTGGACGGTTACGGAGTTATGACCATTTTTTCATTCCCGTACATGCCCTCGTGTGAACCGTGTCTATCATCTGACGGGTCGCTATTTTTAGCCAGCTACAGACAGAGTGTTTGCGTTATCTTGACACTTGAGAGGTACCTAAGGTATGGTGGGTTGGTATGTACCCGCGCAGTTGACAACCAAGCGGCAGCCTTTGTTGCGGCCAGTGGTGGCTTTTTCAAAAATCAGCTTTAATCACCAGTAAATTCAAATTAAAGGTAATTTCACAAAGTTAACTTTACATTCATACTTTAAATGTATCATGTATTATGCTGGTTTATTATTTTGTTCCG